GTAGCCCGCGGGATCATTGCAGCACTCAAGCCCGACCACCACGTCAAGGTGGCAGCTTTAGGTCGGGGCAAAAACAAGTAGAGGTCGACTAACATTCAGACGTAGAATCCTTCTCAGGACAAAGCTTACCTCTTAGGCGAACCAAATGAAAGATCGTTTCAGAAGAGCTTGATAAACACTCGGTAGTTTTTATTTGGGCAACGTTTCGCTTTTGATACAAGAGCTTCATCAGGCCAAGTGAGCACGTGACCAAACAGGCCAGGTTATAAGGCAGACGGGGAACCAATCAGTAAGTCAGTCCTCTTCAGATTATCACACTAGATCAGTGTTGAGTGTCAATTAATGGCTTCTGTCGGTTAGTGAAGAACAAAAGATCGTTCTTATTAACACCCAATGAAAACCTCTGGATATCCAATTGGTTTTCAACTAATTCACCCACACCATTCATACAAGGAGGAATTAACAGCTCCGGTGGATTCATCGGATCTATGGTTGGTTTCCAAGTTGAAATCAATCAAACTATCGATTTCTAGTTGTTGAGGGCGTGTTGTCCTAAACGGCTGCTGAAAAAAACCGGCCAGATAAGACCATTCTGAAGAGATGAACTATAGATAGTCCGGCGGCTAAGGTCAAAACTTAGGGACCGGACGGTTCTGGATTGAAACTCAAGCCTGTCCAGATTTGGGCAAACTGCCAGTAAGCGATCCCTCGTGCTTCCTTCTGATGGCAAGGCAGCTAGGCACCACAAAAGGGTGTCAAAGCTGAGGGACTTTATTACCCTTGTAGTCACGTGTGCGTAAAAGAAGCACATAACAGCTTCGGGCTTAGTAAGAGATATGGCCAACAGGTTGCATTCCATAAATATGGGAAACAGTAACTTGAGGATCACAAAAGGCTGTTGACGAAGCCCACCAGGAGTAGTCAGTCTTCGGACTACAGAGCCACCGAGCTCCTGAAGCGGTCGGTCGCAACGGCCGTGTTCAGCCCGTTTCCTTGACACTTATTTGTCGACCGGTTACGCGACAAGTGACTTAATGAAAAAGTGAAATCATTCAAAATAGTGATGATGCTGTTCCCCACTGAAGGATTTTGTGCTACCCTCAAAGAATACAAATATCCCAGCAGCAAGGGTACTATTTCAGACTGACCAAGATAACTAGAACAAGTGATTTTCCAGCAACCATCCTGATCGATACCAGTTTTATCGCGTACTACACATCAGTGACGATAATAACGTTCGAATAAACAACAGTACCTAGTTAATACCAAGAATAAGCTTAGAAAAACTCACTAACATCGGCAGGTGTACCAAATGATGACATGACTTCAGTATGCATGACAGTACAGCAATTCGATGTATCGGTCTCATGTATAGTTAATGGGGACGAGTTTGCGTCGGCCGTAGTAAAGCAGAATTTGACTTGCAACATTTTCTGACCGACTTGTCGGTAATATGACGCGGAGTTGGATGAAATGTGACAACCATAAGTTTTATCCTTTGTCAGAAATTTCCCTCTAAGGTGATCCTGTTTGGTGCTCGTTCAGTCGATCGATTTTCAGTTATCTGTGTGGATTTTACAAGTTGAGCGATGTTCATTCAAGCATTATGGTGCAAACTAAGGTAATAATGATACGAAACTCCGATGCACATCTACAGCAAAAGCCATTTCGAACTCACGCTGACAGTCAACAACAGTTCCGGCGTACTTAACTTGATCTAATGTTTTACTTGCATGCCCCAGTAAGTTTTAAATGGATCATCTGGGGATATTACGCTGTTTCGTACTCAGGTAGGTTTCACTTGGGGATTTTAGGATGGGTAGATTTGGTAGGCAGCTATCGAGCATTTTAAAGGGAAAGTTCTAAACAGGAAACACTTATTGTTGTCATCAGTGGAGCTAACTACTCATGACTCAGTCAGTCTGAACTCAGAGTTCGAAAGACATTTCTTGTACTTGTGTGGTGGTACAATTATGTGCCCGCATTTTGTGTCCGTATTCCGCTTTAGGCTTCTAAAGCGCTACATCTACGACGAGATGGACCAAATGGTTAGAGCGCGAATTTACTGACCGGAAAGTCCGTGGTTTGAACCCACCCTCTGCCTCTCGACTATCCCTGTCTAGGCTTGGGCAACCTGACAGTATCCCAGCCCTAGTGCCTTCTTCGTGTGGCATGGTAGCTAGACACCGAAAGGGTGCTACAGCTGAACGATTTCTATTTTCTATTTATTCTGAGTTCGAAGTAAGATCTCCCTCTAACGAGAATATCGTGGAGCCATCCTATGTCAAGAGAGTTAAGCAATCCACAACAGTTTCGTCCCTTTTGGAAATCACCAGCAGTGAATTTCGCGCAAAACTCCAGGAGGTCTCGAATCCGCGGCCTCCGGACGAGTTGGTGAACATATATCCGTTCAGTCAGGAGCGGCTGAGCAGCGAGATGATTACACAGGATAGGGTGCCACTCGGTATTTAATCACAGAAATCATATCAAGTGATCGCGAGATGTTTTGGAACAAAGTATCTCGTTTTCCGGGATTAAAAATGAGGTAGAGTATGTCGTCGCCGTCATCTTTTCCCATTCCCTTTATTATTCTGCCTAGAAAAATTGCCAAAAACGAGCGGGCGGTGAACAGTTTAACTGCAACCTTTTGACTTGTAATTTTATTGCTATGATCGGAAATTTGGCGATACTAATCACCACAGTCACGGGTAGGGATTTTGGATGTTTGAAACAGTGCGGAAATAACGATCTGGTGTTTGACTTTTCCGGTATGTCAAGTGTACTCTCCAGCTGCGTTTCTAAAAAACAACCGGGGTATCAATTCTCGGAGCAGCGGATTATGATGAATTAGGCTCTAAATTTATCCCCCGAAATAGGACGGATGTAGACCTTCAAAAGCAAAGCCAATCCTAATCGCAAAACATTCAGGAAACGAGCTAGTGCAAAACTCAAATGAGACCTGGAGGCAGTTAATCATTCAGTTCGTCAAGTTATCTATACCCCCCCCCCGCAAACCTTAGTGCGACATCAAACTATAGGAGACTAGATGTTTCGGAAAATCCCGGATGAGAATCCGGTCATATCAAAGACGGTACCCATGATGACGTCATCATTTGGTCTATTCTGATCGCCCAAGAATTTGCGACCATATTTTCCAAAAGATTGTTTGTTAGGCTAACCAGATTGATAGATTTGGAAGTTGTAAGAGGCGTTTGGGGACTGTTTTGAGGGCACCAACCGGAGACAAGACATCGGGAAAAAGCGCTCATGGCTTGCATTTTGCCATGCTGACATAAACTGAAGTTTCTTCAATCAAATGGAACAAGGTGGAACCGGTTGAGAAGTCATCGTTTTTGAATGGTTTGATAAATTTAACTACTCTTTCTCAAACCCGTCTGAGAACAGACGTTCCTTTGTTGAAATGCCTTCTTAGTCCTGACTTTCTGCTTCAGATAAAGAGTCGGATCGATATTGTTAAGCCTGATGCCGTCTGTGAGCTGTCTACGACCTACAATGGTAGAACCAACACTGGATCAATATTGGCCAGACAATTGCGATCGATCTTCATGTTCAGACAACTGAGATTTGATCCATCGTACATGCCGGCTGTTCTTTAGAAAGTGAACAAGATAAAGCAAGATGGAGGCTTCCCTTGTTTGGTGATAGCTACCATTTCTTCTTGCACATCCGGTCAAAATTTGATGTAGCGCCAGCATGGATACCCACAAACAACACGTACGGGACCTTTAGCAGTAAGCGGCTCGACTCACAACTGAAGTACTTATCAGGCCACTAATGTCTGTCAAAATAACGCACCGGTATCACGGTCGATTAGGATTCCCGTGAAAAAGAAAAGGATGTCTCGAAAAAATCTACGGACTATGTTTGCTGATCCCACCCAGATTCATCCCAATGTTTCCCATTAGTTAAGTTACATTTGCGCTCCAATGAGTGAAGCATGAGATTTCGGTTGATCAAGTTTTTACGCATCTCAATGCCTTGTCGGTCATGTTAAGACAGCACTCAGAAAGGAACAACGTCAACACGAGTTTGACAGCAACACCCTTTTCCAGAAAGTAATCATCATCATCATCATCGACAGCATGACAACAGTGTTCAACACCAATGCTTCACTGCCGTACAACCATGATTTATTTGAAAACCTTATTGTAAAGAAAAGAGTAAAGGTGGACGGGGAAGGGACTTAGTGCTAGCTTATCACAATCATTCCGAGGTGCCTATACCTCCAGACACTCACTAAGGCGATCTGGATAGAAACTGAAAACACGAACACCACTGACATCGGTTCGCAGCCATATATTGTAGTGTCTCCAACCAAGCACAGTGAGGATCACGCGGTTCCCATTCTGGAAGGCGAGTAGCACCGACAGCACCCAAGCGTTTCTTGATCTCGTTCATACTCCACTGCCAGGTCATGGGTTGGCCACCTCTGTTTACGCCACTCCGAACTGAGCATGAAAAACAGCACTCTTCGGTAAACGATGGTTCGGCACACGCAACACATGTCTCAACCAACGCAGCTTCTGGTGCTGGACACATTCTTCAATGGAAGTACCCGTTACACAACCAAAAACACGCTTTCTAACTGCCTCATTACGGATTCGCCGACATCAACTACACGAGCTATGGTTTAGAGACAACGACTGTCCAACGCCTGAAGACGTCTCAGTTCCGCTGCTCGAATAGGCCAAGTCTCACAGCCATACAACAAAACAGCCCGTACTGTAGCTTGATACACACGTCCCTTCAGATTCAGGGATAAACCATTCTGACGCCATAGGCGTCTCAAAGTGAAGTCCGCAGCAGTGCACTGATTCTTCAGACGAGCAATTCATTGACGAACACTCAATGAGGACTCAACCGGGACAACAGTCTGAAACTATTCTAAACTACTGTATAACTTTTTTAAGAACAATCTGGCACAAAAAATTTGGATGACCCGGGTAGGAATTGATAAAACTCCGTTGACGAACTCTTACCTTGCCGGATGTTTTAATGCCCTTGCAAATGCATAGAAAAATAATCAACCAAGCCAACAGAAGGCAGAGGGCCAACTCCCAGCGGATGGTACCGCTATCTTCAATTCCAGAAGATAATCCGAGAACTCGATTTCTGAACGCAGAGAGAGGGAGGGAGAAAATACGACAAACAAACAGTTGACAGAGTGCTCGTAACGAACCAACAGTGGGACATGCAGCATCGATTAATGCGGTAAGGTTTTTTTTTCTGGCGAATTGCACTAAATTTCACCAAATCAACCGATTGCGGCATGATACATCGTGATACCTTTTACCTTTATCCATTTTACAAAATCCTATCCATTTCCAAGGGCGTGATTTACTTGAAAACCTGAGAAATAGGGGTTCTACCTGAGGTCACATCATACATATGACAGTTCTCACCAAAATCTATTAGAATACACACGAATTCAGTGAGTCAACCGGCAACTGCAACAGCTGTTTCATCCTGGTCTATGCTACCTCATCCTTGTCCGACATCCCCAGCAATACGTTTCAAGAGGTTCTCAGGAGTTCCGAACCCATGACCTTCTGGTTGATGGTCGAGTATTACACCATTCGGTCACGACTGACCTGTCTGACTGTTGTTCAGTGACCGGAGGGTGTGAGGCTCATCTGTTGATCGGAGGGCCGCGGGTTGGAATCTCCATGGACCTTCGTTCGATGCATACTACTGATGGTGTCCAACAAGAAAGAAACAGTATGCCGTGTCACTCAACTTATCGGCATGGATTAACTCAACCTGCAGAACAAGCTGTCGATCGAGATTTTAATAACTCTCGAGACTATGAAAATGGTGTCGAAGACGAATGCCAAGAACAAAACAAACACTTTAGTTGTTTCGGAGATTTGTAAATTTGCAGTCTGAATTTTACTATCGAATGAAGCAAATTTACTTAAAAAAACGAGAACACGTTCCTTATTTTTTCACATCTAATTAGGGCAACAGTCTATGTGCATAGTGTTTTTTCACACTCTTGGGAAGCTAGTCACGACGTGTGACCATATGATGTGGATCCATTGATTGACGGATGACCGGCTTTAATTTCTGTTTGAGCGCGTGTTCCGCACTCCATTTCTTGTAGACACTGTACAGCTGCTTCAATCGAGACTACGTCCTCCAACCGACCAGTGACCTTCAATATCGCAATTCACGTCACGTGCTCCGCCATCGGCTGGCTCTGGAATGACGAATCCTCAGACGGAAGCACCACATCATTTGTGTTACATCATTCTATGAGTAAATAACTGCTGTTCATATAATGATATGCAATCAACAGTGTGGTTACTAAACACCTAGAAAAGACACAACGTCTCCTAATTTCCGTGTCCACATTTCAAGCTAACGCAATCTCCTGTTTGAGGCTTCTTTTGTTCCTTCCCAAATAACAACTAAGGTATGTTTGTAGTCAAACTAGCAGGAAGATCAGATTCCCGAAATTAACCCAAGAAAGCCAGGAACCTACTGAGACCCTAAAACTCCACCAAAACCTCAATAGGAAAGCCGGCAAACATCCACGCCTGTCAGTCATTCAATTAGTCCAGCAAAAATCGATGAATGTTCAGGCACACGACAGAAGCACGAACGATCAGCGTTCAGGCATTTCATAGATGCACGATCGATGTTGATGGGTGTTCACTAAACGCCTATCAGGCAGCCTGGATCAATGTCAGAAAGTGCCCTTTCAACAGCGCGGGGACGTTGTAGCTTTTGCACTCGCACGCACTCTCTTGTTTGGAATAAAGCTGTTGTTTGTCTACCCTTGTCGGTGAGTTCTTTTCTGGCACCAGGCATTGGACTGGGAACAACAGTTAGATGTAACACAAACAAGGACAAGAAGTCAGCTTTTGACAAACAAAATCCCCCACGCTGGTTAGGAACTTACGCCCGGAGAAGGGATACAAACTGACAGACGGATATCCGTCGGTAGATTTTTGTTCACTTACACAAAGCAAGTCATGTGGACCACATTCTACAAAGCGGTGATACACATAAAAATCGCTGTGACTTTGTTCGTTAACTGGTGCCAAGTCACTTTTTGCGCGGCGCTTGGAATGAAAAGTGACACCACTCGAAATACCTGGCACAACACTGTATTCTACTACGTGACTTTAGATTTGTCATGGTGTGGAGCACATTCCAACAATTAGAAGACTCTGGTCACTTTTTAAAGAATTCGCGCAAATGAGTCTTTTACATATAACACCTTTTGAATCTGGCATTGACTCCGAAACAGTCCTCCGTTTTGTATGCCAAAATTTTTTATCCAGTCTTGTTTTTACCCACCCAAAGTGTGTTTTGTTACCTCCATCCTGAATGACGCAAGTTGCCATCGAAAATAGCAGGAACTTTGGGATATCAACAGGCTACTAAGAGATAACCATGCAAAATTGTCTTTTAAAAGAATGATCCAGGGTCTGATGAGAACGTCGACAATAAGTCGTACTACTCACTCGTACAAGGAATGGACACACGGGTAGAAACAGCTGATGGGTGGCAGTAGTGTTTCGTGGAATATCTCACGACAGTTTTCCTGTAAGTTGCGAGATTCGTAGAATTCATTCTCACATCACTCGTTTCGGCAGTTGTCATCCTGTTCTACCGAGTTATTTTGTGAAGTCCACATCAAGGGGGGGGGGTAATAGACTCGAGTTTCGCTCATAGTTATCCCCATCAGCAGTGCATATTCTTGGTCGTGCTGGGGCTTGAACACCGGACAACAACGCCAGTTACTGAGTCGTAGTTTAGGGTGACGAGGTGACGATCAGATCATGGTAACACGCACGCCTTGCATGCCAGATGTCTGAAGTTCGGCCCCAGGTACTGTCAGGAATATGCACGGTTGATGAGTTCTAATAAGAGCGAAATTCGAGTCCATTACGTCCGTCATTTGGTGTGGACTCACCAGAACAATTTCTCCAGGACAGGAGGCATCAGTGTTCTTGTTATATCTGCTGATTCGTCAATCCCTGGTATCTGCTGCTAACCCGCTCCAGTGCCTAGTTGCCGGAAAAAAGACTCACAGAAGGGAACGCAACAGCTGTATCCCGAACAAGCGAGGGCGAGAGCGTGAGTGCGTGCCAGTGCGGGAGCAAAAATTACTATGGCCCCACGCTATTTAAAGGGGACTTTCTGACATTGATCCAGGCTGTCTGGTAGGCGTTAGTGAACACCCATCAACATCGATCGTGCTTCTGTGAAAAAGCCTGAACGCTGATCACATTCGGTCGTGCTTCTGTGGCGTGTATGAGCACTCATCAGCTTTTGCTGAATTGATTGAACGATTGACTGGACTGGATGTTAGCCGGCTTTCCTGTTGAGATTTTGGGCGTTCTAAGTTTACATTCAGGAATTTGACCTTCCTGATAGTTTTCATCTGAAGTTGCTATCAATTACAGTGATAAGAAGAATTCGTGGACATCCAGACACGTGGTTGGTATAGTTTGAACAAACCTAAAGAACCGTTCTAATCAGGTATCTCGGATATTCATCGCACTGAACTTGTTTACTTTTTGATTTGATTGTGATGTGAAGAGTTACCATCCTATTTAAGGGAGGCGTACAAAATACCGATAAAGTGAAGCGCCAACATTGATTTGAGAAACATCCTGTAACTAATTATATTTCTTAAACGATGGGTTTTAAAAGTGTGCTATTCTCCACTTGTAGCAAATCGAAATCCCGAAAGTATTGATGAGCATCTTATTGGGACAATCAGTTTTCCCGAGAGTGAACCAAGCATACATTGGATGGATATTTCCTTCAAATTCGAGTCACTTTTGTACACTAGGTCGACCAGATACGGCTGAAACCAGAATGAACGAATTGCTAACAATTACCGTAATGGGGGATATACCCTGGTTGTATAAATTCACAGAATCAGTCTGGCGTAATGCAACAACAACTAGTTATTTACCGGGGTCCGGCTTTCTTAAAACTCGAAGTCGAGTGTCTTGATTCCATTTTGCTGTCAACGTGACAGTTGTCAAATCTACATCAGAGCTGTCAATCAATACTTTTCACAACACATAAAAAGAAAAGGCTGGCAGTTTACAAACAACGATTGTTTGCAACAATGAGGATGTAAGAACCAGTTGGGGAGTCCATGTAAGATGCCTCATCGAAAAGTCAACAAAATGAAGCAGCTTGATAATTGAACACTCAGGGAACTTTACGCTTGGCCAGATAAGTTTTCTCTCCATGGATGGTGTGCTGCTAGAATGTTCCACCTAAGACGGTTACTCGGTTATTTTTCACAAGAAAACCTACCATAAATAGCCCATCATAAGGAGTTTCCTCTGCACATTTTTCGTTAGGGCCCGCTTGTAACAAACGGACTTTAACAGCGTTCCAACGTACCGTTTGTTTTTCAACTGACAGTTTTGTGACAGCATTGTGGCAAATCACTCAGAAGGTGAAATATCGATCAGGAAAATCGTGGTGTAGTTCTTGACCAAGTAAAAGCTTTTGAGAGGCACAAATATTGTCAAATCAAGTCATAGATTAGATGGCGCTGAGTAGTCTGTAACTGCGAAACTGATGAATGACCGGTCCACAAATAAGACGAACTCTCCAAGTAAAGCGCTGTCGACGAACTGGGAAACTTTCCGCTCAAAAGTGCACATGAGGTCTTCCCTGAGAGTATACAGCAGGGAGGCGTGCTGTCTACATCCGTCGTGGACATTTTTGGAAAGTTCCATTTCTTCCCCAATGCGGTCGTTCAAGTTGGGCTCTACTTTAAGACGATAAACGACCGGTTAAGCTGATGCCACTAGTTGAGTGCTCGAACCCGCGTCCTGGCTTGGAAAAGAGATTACCATGGTCATCATGATCACAGAGCATGACATCAATGTCCACCACTGTTGCTTCACTGCCGTAAAACGGTAGTTAATTCAAAAGCCATATTGTGAAGAAAGTGAACGTGGAAAGTCGGCTCACTTAGATCATTGTTCCAGGATGAAAGCGCAGTGGATTTGTGATAAAGCTACAATTCCCGAAATATCAGTAGATATTATTGAGCTCCAAGAACGAGAAAACGTTGGCATAATTCAGTAGTTCTGACATTGCAGGTCAAGCTGGCCAATATCCTGAACATAACTGAGGTTGACAGTTGAAATAAGATTCCGAGATGAAGGAACATCTCCCTCGGCACACAGGGCTATCTTTCGTGCAGGAAAAATACTATGGTTTGCTACTTTTTCCTGAAAGAAACTATCCACAAAATTGTTGAAAACTCTTCGATAGCCCATGACCGGTTTCGCCCTCCTTGGGCGAGATTCTGCCTTCCTGGTGAGCCTCGAGAATGGCAAAACCGGTCGTGGAAGTCAAATAGTTCTTAGCAATCCTGTGGGTAGCTTGTTTTGTGAAAATATTCCGGGACTGTTCGATGATCAGGCTAAGTGAAACGGGAGGCGGTCTCTATGCAGCTTATTCATTTGAGGAATGTCATAAACGAGAGACTCAGCTGGGTTTCAGATGAGTCTTCCTTGGTGCGGAATGGTCCAACAGATACATCAGTTTTCTCCACCAGAAACATAGGTCTTCGATCATTCTTCAAGAGCGTTTGAACTGGTTGCACCCGATATTAAGTTCTATCATATACTTGAACTATGGTTGTAACGTGCGCCTGCTGAAAACACCAGAAGCATCATTTTCAATTCAGGCTGTTCTACGTGAACGGAGTTTACACATTTTGTGATATATGCCTGTCTGAAGAGTGGTCAGCGCGACTGAGATAAAAAAAAAAACCCATCCCACTTACTCCCAGTACTCCGTGGCCGGATCCGATGCCAGCACGTTTGCGTTGGAAACCGAAACGTTTGCCACCTGGTCACTTTCGTTCGCCCCAGGTTGATATGCTCTGCAGTTCGCGGTGTTCCACCACTGATCACATTTTGTCCACGGGAGTACCCAGGTGAACGAAGCGAACAGGTAGTGCAGACCCCAGCTCAAAATCACAGTATAATAGCAGTTGACCATGAAGTTGATCAGCGTGCTTGCACACCCAAGCCCTGGAGTGAAAAAAAGATCTTGTGAATTGGCACTTTGTTGAGTGGATGTCTACGCGGAGAACAGTGAGGTTTTCAAAACTGGGAAAGGGTTACTCCAACAAGATAGGTGGCCCCTATACAAACGGGGCATTGCTGCTATTCTGCGTATTTGTGCAAAAAGTTAAGGCCTCCTCTGAGGTCACAACTGATAGGATGACACTAACGAAGTTAATAACGGCCAGTAAAACGGCGCAACTGCTGAGGTTGTGCATCATCACCTAAGTACCTGGTGAAATTCGAGACGATGCCACTTATACCGGAGCCGTTAGGTACGTAATCCATTGCCGTTATATTGCTGTTCATTATTGTGATTATTCTTGTAAACGTCAAAAGGCCCCTGCTGGTCTCCCATTTTCTAATCGTTCAGCTGTAGCACCCTTTCGGGACCTAACTGCCATGCCACCAGAAGGTTGCACGAGGGCTGGGATACTGCCATATTGTCCAATCCTAGACAGGGGAAGTCGAGAGGCAGAGGTCGGGTTCGAACCACTGACCTTCCGGTCAGTAAATTCGCGCTCTGACCAAATGGACCATCTCGCTCCTAATAGACGAAGACGGATTGCTAATCATATCGATCGTCCTCAGTGTGAGTCCCATTAGCTCCCATGATGCAAAACAAACGTGTACCCAGTCCAACATTCCGTTGCTCTGATTGGCTCGGGTGAGTCACCAGAGGATGTGAAAGTGCTCGAAAACATACTCTACTCCACCGTCAAACACATGTTCCAAAACACAGCATTTTGGTTCGGAAGAAAACTGAACTGTCGATGAGCTCTACTCAACAGCGCGTCACTTATCTGCCCCGTGAACAAGATGATGAATTGAGCGAAATCACAGACAGGAAAGCTTCATAACTTTGTTTAAAAACTGACAGTCCGCACGTCACAAAATAACCTGCCTTGCATTATTCAACACTGACATAGGCTATTGGCAGAAAACGAAAAAGCCCCGTAGAGAACGGCTTACCTCGAAAGATCGGACACAAGTCCCATGCAGCGATTGCTCCGCGAGACATGAACTGACCCATTGTGACCTCGAGAAGGAAGAGTGGAATGCCAGCCATAAAAACGCTTATAAAGTACGGGATGAGAAATGCGCCTGTGGGGGGGGGGGTGCAACACAAAGTTCTTGTCAGTCAAGAGGCGAGTTTGAAATGGTCTCAAAACAACTATAAATGTTTCGAGTTCGAATGCACTCTGGTGTTCGGCCTACGTACTATCAGACAAGAGGATATTTGCGTGTTTTAATTCGAATTCGAGAATGATTTTGGTAAGCTAGTAATAAGTCCTTCTCCGTCCACTTTTATTCTCTTCTTCACAATAAAGCTTCCGAATAAACCATGTTTGTATTGCAGCGAGGTGTCAGTGTTGAGAACTGTTTAAAAGCGTGCGTAAAATTTAGTGACCATAATTCATGAATACTTTCTCAAACGCATCTCTAGCAACCGAGGCTTTTATGTTGCCTAATCCGTTCAGTGCCAACGTCGCCTACGGTTATACTGAATAGCGGAATACATTCACTTGAATACCATTCTGGTTTTGGCCGGGGGCTCACCTGAAACTCAACAAGCTTATGAGTAATGTATTACATACTAATGAATAGTTTGTTGCCAACACTATTTCAGACAAGTATTCTTTTCGAGCAATACACTCATTTACAAATCAACTTGGTTTTCACGAGAGACTCAACTGATACTCTCGTTTATGATATTCTACAACTGAATGTGCTACACACAGGCCGCCTCATGTTTCAGTTGGCACGATATTCTAGATAACGCAGTATATTTTCATAAAGGAAACTACTCACAAGGTTGCTGAAAACTCTACGACCTTGTGAGTAGTTTCCTGTAAGAAAATATTCTTTTCAGTAAGAAACTGTGTTGAGTTTTACGGAAATTTTTTGCTGTGAAATGCATACAGCAACGGTGTTCATTCTACTCGAGTCAATCAACCAAGCGCTTCGTCTGGTTTGCACTAATTCGCTGGATGGATCCGTTCGCCTGATGTTCATGTCTGAAGGGCTTTGCCTTATCGGGCGTCTAACTCACTTATGCACTTGGACTAAATGAGGTCATGTGTGATTCGGGTGGTTTTCCGGGGTCGATTATTCCCGACATCTAATTGGCAATGGTAGTTGTTTCAAACCGAGTGTTTTGCAATGAACAGACCCCTTTGAATACCGTAGAGACCTAGAAAAGCGTTCCTAGTTCAAATATAATGCTGGCACATGAAGGTAACCCGTATTCTGTCAACAAAAGTGCGTGTGCACCTGTACTTGAGCGATGAAAATCATTGAAGTCGAACCCAGTATGGCGCGGATAAATGGAGATGTGATGAGGTTTGATATTATACAATAGAGATTTTATTCTTTCAGTGAAGGTAACCTATACCGAAAGGCCGAGGAACATTGTAAAGGACGTAGAATTTTCGAGCTAAACCAACGAAAGCAAAGTGCCGAAAGATGGTAAGTTTTTTTCTTACGAAAACGATGGTGTATTCTTGAAATAAACGTATCAGGAAGGTTAGATTCCTGAAAGTAACTTCAGAACGCCCGGAACCTACTGATCCACCAAACTCTCAACAGGAAAGCATCTGGGCCAGTCAATCATTCAATCAATTCAGCAAAAGCTGATGAATGTTCATGCACGCCACACAAGCACGACCGAATGTGATCAGCGTTCAGGTATTTCATATAGGCACGATCGATGTTGATGAGTGTTCAATAACGCCTATCAGACAGCCTGGATCAATATCAGAAAATCCCCCTTAAATAGCGTGGGGCTGTTGTAAGTTTTACTCTCGTACTCGCACGCACTCACGCTCTCGCACCCGCTTTGTTGGAATATGGCTATCGTGTTCCCTTCTGTGAGTCTTTTTTCTCCGGCATTAGGCACTGGAGCAGCAGATACCACAGATTAACGAATCAGCAGATATAACAAAACGCTGCCCGTAAACATTAGAAATGATGGGACTTTGAAATACTTGTGCTCGTACATGATTCTGATGCATTCGTGCATGTTTTAGACAAATCCTTGAACGGAATGTCAATACTGAAACATTGGAAACGTTGGTGAGGTCGTACCAAACTCTCTACAATCACTTGTGACATTTAAGTCTAATAGAAGAGAAATACCTCCAATCGGAGAATACCCCGAGTGAACAATATCAAAGCTTCACGGATGTACTTGTCTACTGGCGCCGTAACCTCGGCATATCAAGATTTGAGATCGCCTCATGTCATGTTATCTTTTATATATGTATGTCTGTATATATGGCCAGATACAGAGTTACCGCATATCAGCCCAGCATACAACTGGCGCCATACCATCATGCTATCATATGATGAAATGCATCCACGACGCCTCAGTGGCTGCCAAATGCTCGCCTACTTCAAAGAAACATCAGTGTCACATTTCAGATGGCACGGGGGACTACCAGCTGTCTGGACAGCTGGCAAGGTGTGCGTAGACGAACACACTATGGAATAATCTGTCGCCAAGCAAAGATGGACATTTTTCTCTTGAAGCGCCCACCACAGCGGGCGAGACCACACAATTCGAGAATTTACTGAGAACACTACAAGACATTACTGATCCACCCGTAGAAAGGATATGCCTAGTCCACCTTAGTTTATCACATTATTTTCGAAAATTTAATGTGTGGTAGGTCAAAAACGTCCAAGTGGATTCGAGAACCTGAAGGAAGTGGTGATCCACACAAAATCCTTTTTGGCAGATGAGCTGGAAAAGTAAGTAATATGGTTGCTTGCTTGTTGCTGGATTGCTCTACCTTTCCACATTTTAACAAGCAGTCTTCATCAGACCGAGCGGAGAAACGTCTTTGTCGTCGTGTACAGATTTGAATGTATCCTTTGACGAGAGAAGAAGTCAGCTTGGTTTTTGGTCGGCTTGCCGAGCTTGAATGACCCAGTTAACCCCGCACTGATGATGTCATCTCGATTGGTGATGAAACGTTTTCAAGCCAACAGATGACGAAGAGACTTACAACCAGGAAGCACACCAAAGCTATCCATAATCCATAAAATTGCCAATAGAGCCAACTAGACCGCAAATTACAAACTCACACAAATCATAAAATATGCCTTTAAAAAAGTACTAATTCTTCCGGTCACCTAGAGAGCTTCATGGTGGGTCATTACAAGCCCACACCGTAAACTTTAGAATGTACAAGAATAATCCAGCCACGTGTTAGCTTTCACGACCACGATCAAAGTTGGACGGATTCTGTAACGGTGATACTACTGATGGGGAGGCATGCGAGTAGTATGTTTTCTTGTAAATCCGCTCTGCGTCTCTTGAAAAATGATATCTACTACGGAGTTTGCGGAGTCGATCTGTGGCATTTGTTTGGATTTGAGCAAAAGCCAATGAATATCCAGGAAAGTTCAGAAAAGCGCGTTCAAAGAGAATATGGATATTCAGTCTTTGTAATCAAGATGCATATGAGGGTTTTGCTTCCCTGTCCAATAGTCTGTAACTGTTCAGTCGGCATTTTCTAATAAGCAACCCCGCAGTGAAAAAACGTCGTAAAAACAACGGTGCAACCTCACAACTAGTAACTCCATGGAGAACGTTTGTGACACGAATTAACCGATAATATCCGTGAACCCAAAGGTACTGTGACGTAAGCTGAAACTTAGACCTTTCCTAACTCTAGAATGTAAAAGAATAATCCAGGTATGTGTCAGCTGCTACGACAACGATCAAAGTTGGAGAGATTCTGAATATACCGGTGTGACGGTGATACTACTGATTGGGGGCATGCAAGTAGTATGTTTTCTTGTAAATTCGCTTCACGTCTCTTGAAAAGCGAGATCTATTACGGAACTTGTGGAGTCGCATTTGCTTGGATTTGAGCAACCGTCAATGAATATCCAGGAAGGTTCAGAAAAACGCGTTCAAAGAGAGGATGGATAGTCCGTTTTTGTGAACAAGATGAATATGAGAGTTTTGCTTCCCCGTCCAATAGCCTGTAAATGTTCATTTGGCAGCGAAAACTTTTTGCTTTCACTGATAGGTCGTAAGAATAACGGTGAAACGTCACAAACAGCTTGACAGTAACTCCGTGGAGAACGTTTGTGACACGAAGCAACCGATAATATCCGTGAACCCAAGGTAATCTGAAACTTAGATGGGCCTTTCTTAACCCTAAACTGTAAATGACGAGTCATACAGACTTTTCCGCAGCCCATTTGTTTTTTGTTCGTCTTCTTGTACATGAGAACAATATTTGATGATTCAGGCTTGGTGATAATGCGTACTAGTAACAACATCCTTATCCAGGAGAACAGACTTCTAGAAGGGAGTGCCTCCGAGGCTCTCTCGTTGTTCACACAACACAACGGGGGAAAATGTAGAATAATAATCATTAAAAACGCTTCTGTCAGTGTAAAAAAGCAGTTCACAAATATCGCTCAAAATCCGCCTCTTTTTGGGCTTCAAGCCTCATATTTTTGTAGCACGACAAATCAATGCAATTGGAAAAATTCATCAGTGCACATTACGTCCAGAACTGCAGCGTACATCATGATGATGCGTGATTATGTATAGGATATCAAGTCCCCAACTAAGATTGAACAGTTGTACAAGAGGTCCCCAGTGGAAAATCGCTCTAGGTATGGAAAGCAAGTTCGTTCTATCCAAATAGACCACGAAGTTTGACCCGAGAATGCAACATCGGCAGTTGACAGATGGAAGCTCTTGGGTTCATATTTCACGTGCTTCTGGATGTGTCGGCGATATGCTATCTGGATGCCGTCCAAGCGTTAGTTAACCAAACTGTCTACTGAATGCTTGGATGTCCAGCAACACTACGGAGAGCTTCGTGAAACGCTCACTGTTGGTAATTCCGGACAAGAATGGAGCGGCCGTTCCGTTTCTTCCCTCTTAAAATGCAATGGCTTCACCTGCAGGGTGCGATTTCAACTGGTGTCTCAATGCCTCGCACACTACCAAACCAAATGTGTGGTTCAGCAGAAAAAAATAGTCC